ACCCCAAAACCCCAAAACCCCGCAAAGATAAAGCTATTTTAAAATTTCAATTTTTGTTTATGTAATAATTCATTATTCATCAAAATCACTTATATTTTCACAATTGTTCATTTATATATTTGAATCTCCAATCCAATTTCCTTAAACGCCCAATCCTTTGCAAAACTACTCATTAAACGTTAATTGACTCCTAAGTCACTGCATCTTCAATATCGATGCTGTCTTAAGATTCGTTAATCAATCACACTCTATGCTCATCAAAGTTTTATTCCTTTGATTGAAGGCTAATATTTATCTTTGATATTCTAACCTCCAATGGCTAACTGTTATGCTCCCTAAAGTCAAAGAAATAAGTGAGTCCACAAGAGTATAATCCAATAAGTCCAATGAACCCAGTATATATCATGTATTTAATTCGACTGTCAATGACTGATTCTATTATCTAAAAAATAAAGACACCCAGTGCCTAAGCCATATTAAAAATTGAAAATGGCTCTGAATTGTTATCAAATTCGAAACCTAATATCTATAAGCAATTAATGTTGACAAAAGCGTCTTAAACACCCCAAATAAAAGTCATTAAGAAGGCAAGCATATTAAACTTGTTGATACCTAAGAATGCTAAGGTGCAAAATGTCATAATGAATATTATGCCACAGTTAAGCATTGAGACATATTTAGACCCCCTTCTATCAATAATCTATCCAACAAGGAGACTACCTGCCACTTAGCCGATTCCAAATATTACCATAGCTATCATAGATCTCTCTAGCTTTTTACCACTATCTTAAATAGTTTCAGTTATCATCGGAGTGAGAGCACTTGAGTAGAAGGCAATAGATATACCAGTCCAAAACAGTTAAGGGACTAATCTTCTCATTCTTGCTGAGAAGAGCATTACGCATAGGGATATAATTTCCTCTTTTAAAGTTGGCTTCTTAGGTATATCGAGTTAGGAACCTTAGCCCTGCATATTTCCTACAGTGTTTCTAGTTCCTCCTAATATTGCTACATCTTAAGCTTCATTGGCATTATCCTCAGCAATTTTGAAAATCTAAGAATTTCTTCTAGCTATTTACTAGCTTGAATTTAAGTCATTTCTACTCACATTAATGTTCGGCTTTCTTAAGAATAGAGAACTAATTGACGAGACAAATGATATCAAGCCAAGTATAACGAACATAGAGGATTAACTCATCGAATTCAAGCAAAATGCTGCTATCAAATTACCAAATATCTAGGAGGCCATGTAAAATAGCCAAAAGTAGCTGAAGAAAAACCCTTTAGTTTCCTCAGTAGCGCAATCTGACATGTATTTACCCTGACCAACCCATTAGATTGCTTAGCCAAGTCCATTTATTATTGAGAGCACTACGATTAAGATAGTTATGAAATCCTCTCTAAGGTAAAATGCATCATTATTGGGGTTCTCCTTCTTGTATCCGCAAAGAGCAAAAGATAATATCCAAGGTGTATTGAGCAATGAGCCGAGTGCCATGCATTTGACATCCCCAATTTTGTTCTAAACTGCTGTCGAAAAGAAACAACCAACCATGATTGAGAGGTAAAGAATACCAATAGACCAGAATCCTAGCTTGCCGAAGCCATCATCTTCAAGTGCCTCTGACTAAATGTTCTAAGCAGTGTTAAAAGCAATGAACAGACCAAAGAAGTTGAGTGAACAATGAGTAGCTTGCCAGATGTTTTGCTTATACTTTGTATTCATATTTTCTATTATGGCCCTACTGATTATTATAATAGTGATTTAAAATACACATTATTCACTCATATAAATTTTAATTAAATGGTTTTATCAATCCAATTGTCACTAAGGGGTTTTGGGGTTTTGGGGAGATCGGAAGAGCGTCGTGTAG